TAGGAAGCCCTAGGAGGCACTGGGAGATCTTCTACTCTTTCCATCTTCTCTAGAGGTTCTGATGCAGCATTTACAACAGTYCTGATCTGGACTTATCTGAGGTGAGGAATGGGGTGGATGACATTACAGAAGAGGTCGGAGCTGGTCTTAAGCCCTTTCCTGCAGTTGGCAGAGAGGAGTTAAGGAGTAAAGGCAGAGGTATGATGAACAAGGCTAATATAGGAGACACCTCATTGTGGGAGTCTGGCAGAGAAGGAGCAGGAAGTCTCACAGAGACTTCTCTAAGCAGAGTTCTCCTGTCTTGTGTTGGAAGAGAGGCTGTCRTGGCAGTCTCAGCGTCACCTAGGGGCGCTGAGCCCCCTGCTGTGGCTGCCCCTCTGGAGTGATGAGATTTGCCRTATGTTCATGTCCATATGCCAGGCACAGTGCGGATGTTTTTTGACAGTTTGGTACACTCAGCGTGTGTGATACACAGGTGGAGCTTGATCTTGTCCTAGGGCTGGTTTTGACTGTAACTCCAAATCAGATGTGGCACCATATTCAAATAAATTGAGACTAAGCGGATACCTTAGGACTGAATATTGCTTCTCTATCCTTCCCGAATAACACAAGTGAATTGTTGAACTACCTRCAGGTATATACTATATAGTCTCACGATTCGTATGGGCCTGTTTGCAGCTATGCTGTGAGTGTCCTAGTGCTACTAYAGTGTGACCAAGCTCTGTATTTCCAAGGAGGAAAGACTTCCTTCCAGGAAAGAAGTCAAAGAATGTTCACCTTGCAGCTCCAAATTAGCTTTAGGAAAASTTTGCACAGGTTCTTTGTAAGAATTTGCTACTTTTGACTTCTGTGTTAAAGAGTTATGTCCTTAAGCATATGCTCTAAAGATAAAGGCAAAACCCCAACCCTTACAAGCCTGCAATGCTTCCATCCTTTTCCYATGCTTTAGAGCAGCAGTTATCTAGTGCTGTATTGCACAGTGTGCACAACTCGTAACTCCTCCTTCTAAAACAGACAATTCTACCAGGAAATCCATAAACAAATGTGGAAGAGTCAAGACTACTTTAGCAGGCACAGTTATGTGGCATGGGACATCTGTCACAATTTTTTCTTTTGACTTTTTTTTTTTAATTTTCTTTTAATGCCTTAGTCCCAGCTGCTCTGGTGCTGTAGTGAAATTGGAAGGAGCATGTTTGTTTTGAAACACCCTTCACTATTAGAAATAGATTTTGGTATGTTTTGCACAGAATTGTCTAATCCTTACAGCAGATACTTTGCTCTGCCTAGTATGTTCTGTCTTCAAATGGCACTCGAGAATTTTGATCCTCCTTGCTGTTACTCTAGGAAAGTGCTGAAGGTTTGCTAAGGAAAACTGCGGCATGTGGACGTTGAAGTGACTGAGGGGGGTCCACAGGAAAGGTGGGTCAGGAYGGCGGGGATTGTTCTGTGCTGCAGGCTGGTTACACAGGGCCAGATCCGGCTCCAGTTCACAGGGGCTCAGCTGTTAAGGGACGGCCACCCCAGAAAGCACACGCTGCAGGCACACATCAGCACCGGCCTCTTTAATGCATTGGAGCTCTTTATAAACAGTTTATTGTTTCACACAACAGTTGTGGTTAGAAACAACAGGTACAACATACAAGTTGATTTTGTCGTCAGGGACTCGCGAACCACAGCGTCTGTGAATCCTGAGCGCGGCTGGGCCTGGAGCACACAGTGCGGAGCGCCAGGACAGCTGCCAAGCCCATGGGCAGCTCACACATGCATACAGCTGAGGCGCTATTTAATTGACTTTACCTTTATAATCCAAACTGAAAACAGCAAAGGCAAGAAAGTGGTTCTGATTTACATAGGTTTCACTTAGGTTTGCTTGAACCATGTTTTCTGTTTTAACTGAATCRGCTTAATTCGGTAGTTATAACAGTTGTGAATTGTATTCCTGAAGGTTGATATAAAACCAAAACAAAACCCCACAGTATCATCAACCATGCACCAATAATTTCAAATAACTGTGATAACCATTTGATATTACTTGACAAATGAATGTCTGATTGACAGCTCTATAGCATATAGACAGATTAACAGTAATAAGATATCAAAAGAAGAAAATGAAGTACAGAACAAAGGCAAAATTGCCTCTGGGTCTTTTGCCTGGCGCAGTCCCCAGCACCTGCAGAGGTGCTGGTCGGCACTGCTTGCATATCTCCAGTGGCTGCTGGCCAGAAGGTTCCTGCTGTAGGCCAAGGCTACAGAGAGAGTTAAGAGCCCTGAGGAAGGGGCTTAAACCGGAAGCGCAACTCAGCCTTAATGGTATTTGCTACAGTGTATTAAGACACAGCTCTAAGAATTTCATATACTAAATAGCAGCAAAGTCATTTAACACTTAAAAATTTACATCTTCTTTATAGATTAAGAAGTTATTGGCAATACAAGCYTCACTCATGATGCCTTTGGAGGTGCCCATCTCTGCTCTTATGCTGGCTTCACRTAGACGCTTGGAACGTGACTGTTGAGAAGGGGTGGGCGCTGAAGCCCATCAGGGAGCTTCTGCAAAAGGGAAGCTGCAGGAAGCCTGCAAGGGATGGGAAGTGGGGCTGGCACGTGTGCTACMGCAGAGGTTGCATCAGAAGCATCAGAAAAAAACAATTTTGACTACCACATATTCTGAATTTAGCAGGAGTCACTGCCTCCCACAGAGGCAAACTATTGCTAGTAAGGTAACAGCTGGAAAAAGAGCAGCAGCACCTCTGTGAGCCTATTGCATTTCTACTAGCTCACTTATCTAATTAGAAAAGAAAGATACAATTGAGTACATCTGACTCTCAGAGTTTGCCTAAACCGCACTGCATTGAAGAGTTTTGTTCCCTTCCTGCTGGGAACAAGATTATGTATGCAGATCTTGGGTTGTTCCCAGCAAGAAGGGAACAAAACTCTTTCTCATATATACATGAGAAAGATAATATATAAAATATACATACACACTGCTGAACGTGTCTGCAACTCAGCTACACTAGCACTTCTGCACTGGCTCCTGTCAGTGTTCACTTAAACAGGACAGTTGAGGATGATGAACCTAGAGCTAGTAGTGAACAGGGAGATTCAGCCWTTGGGACATGCACTGTTTCTCCAGGCAGCAGGTCTGAAAAGGGCTGATTAAATGTATGGGGGCTTGCAGAAGCTGGAGATTTGTTTACATTCCTGTGGTATACTTCAGTACTTCAGCCTTTTGCTTTGCTAGTGCCGTCTTTTTTTTTTTTTTTTTTTTTTTTTAAAGCAGGATCTGGGACCACAGCACCAAAACCAGAAAGGGAACACAACAGTTGTGCAGTGCAAGACAACTAGAGAATGCTTTGCAAGTAAGTAAGTGATGCTTAACAGCTGATTAGTGTGTTAATCTAGATAACCACTGAGGCCATTGAAGGGGAAAGTCTGCATGCAGCCAGCGTACAGCTGGCTWACAGCCCTCTCTGGCAGTGCCCCATGAGAGACTAGGCAAAGGAGCCTGACTCTTGCAAAGCTGGTATGGGTGCTTAATTCAAACATGTTTAGCTAGCCCTCATTTAAGACTAGTATAGGCAAGAATATGTAGTTGAGCTAATCTTCAGGGGTTAACTTTAAACTTAGCGTATTTCTGGAGCTCATCACTTTCCTCATGCTGATGCTGAAGGTAACRTAGTAAAATACGGCCCTAGAAATTAGTCTAGCCTCCACCTTCAGGAATCTAAAGTAGAAGTTTAGCAGCTGCTGAAGGTATGGGTGGGAGAGAATAAAAGACAAAACCATTGCTGGAATTCAGAATAAACTCTGCATTTAGCTTTTCTAGGAGAGGTTTCAGTTTCTCATCTCTTTATCTAAAGGAGTATGGCATTTACTCCTTTGAAAAGTAGTGAGAGATGAGCTAAGCACTTGAGGAATTTATTTTTTTCATAATGCAGAAGTGCTGATCATGCTGGCGTTCCTTTGAAAGATGATATGATGCTTTCTTATTTTAAAAAAGGGAGTGCCACTTTACTTCAGAGMGTGAGAGCCTGAGCAATTAAGAGGAGAAAAAACAAACAACATTCTCAACTACTCTGCAAACCCAGGTGAGACCTCCTTGTGGCGCCGCATCTCCATTGCAGAAGATGACTTCACTTCCGAGATGTCAGCTGCTTTTGAGAAACCTCGAAGCGTTCAGAACTTCACTGGAACGTGGGCTCCCCCCTTCCTGAGCACACTTGYCAAGTAAGGGGTAGGGGAAAGTCTTGAGCAACTTAGGAAAGAATTAAAGGGACTAAAACTCAGGGAAGATTGAGTCCTTGAAGATGGAGGGTGAGCTGACAGACATTAAGTGGGGCTGTAATCTTATTTCCAATCCTTGGACAGCAACTGCACTGTGGTATCTGCTGTTAGCTTATAGCATCTTACTGCATGTTCTAGCTTTGCACAAATCTAACCACCTGCTTATGGTGAAACCAGGGCCTTCAACACTGGCTTTCTACTCCTTCATACGATCTGAGGAAATAAACCCTTGCAATAGAGATGTAGTCCTCATCTTACAAAGCTATGTAAGTTCAGTAATTTTTCCCTAATGCTTCAGTTGCAGGCATTGAATTTGAAATTAGTAGAGCTAGTTCTATAAAGTTTTGCTTATTTTTCTTCCAGAGAATATAGCAGCACCTGGCAAACAGAAAAGTCCTGTAGTAAAATATATAGTTATTTAATAATCCCTCAAAAGCACAGGATGGTGGTCCTGTGTCTTTATTTGCATATAACGTGTTGTAGAATCAACTCAAACTCTGTGTAAGTGTACTCACAAAGATAAGGCAAAACAGGTTTCTGTAGTACCAAGTCAAGAAAGTTGATGGTGTCTGACCAGTAATCATTGCCTCTTTAACTTTGTCTGACCTGAGCTCACTTGAAGAGGAAAGTGCAYGGGAGAAGTACTCATCTATCTGCATCCTCTGCCTTTTGCTTTTACCTCTTCCCTCTTCCTGCAGACTGGAAGATGAGGTATGTAGGGTTTATGGGAAGGTGTATGTGAGCCACCTTAAAGAAGTCTTAAAAACCCACAGCCCAACATCCAGAGCAAATAAATCATGTCGCCATTAAATTTTAGTTACTTGAAAAAATAGCCCATCACTGTAGAAAAATACACAAGGAGRAATCACTTTTACAGACCAACATCTATATTTCACCTTGTTGAAACTACTGTGCAGGGGCTTGCAGTGGGAGGAAAGTTGTTATTATTTTCTGTGATGAGTACTGAGTAAAGAACAACAAACAGCAAAACTATTCTCAGACACCCAGCTGCACTTGATGACCATCTCAAAAGAAAGAAGGAAAGAATAATATAGGCTACAGAAGAAAATATATCCTTGCAAGTGGTGTATGTGTCTTTCTAAAATTGCTCATTCAAGGCTTTTCTTTCATACAGGCTAGACATAGACACATGGTCTTACCAGTGGTCCATGCATCAAGTTGACGAGATCTTCAGGTTGCATATAGGGAAAAAGAGAACTGGTATTTAAAAGCATTTTTTCCCCCCAGGAGCATTAAGTTAAGKTTTGCTTTCCTGGAAAAGCAGCTAGTCCATGAGATGCTAATTTAAAGCCCACTGTTGCACAAGCTCACTACACAAAACCCACACTAAGAATAGTCATAATCATTTTAGTCTTGCACACTGTTATTCCAGAGTGGTTYTTTCAACATCAGGTGCATAGAGACACACAGTCTGCTAAGCACAAGCTTAACAACTGGCTTAGCTAGAACTGTGTTCTTAAACAGCAGCTCCTGCCGCCCCCAGCTTTTGGGTTGAACCCAACTTATTCTTTTGTTACATCATTTTTATTTTGTAAGCAGAATCAAAATTGTGTATTTGAGACACAAAACAAATATCTGGTACCAGTAGAAAAAAAGTTAAGTATATTTTCTTAAATAGTTTGTTTTCTAGTGTAAAATTGCCAAGGCACATGCAAAGCCGTATGCACCCTCTGTCTACAATCTTGTTAAGGAAATAGCTCAGGCAGACCCTCTGTCTGCTGGTCTGCTTTCTGACAATTTCAGTATCTATACTAGGACAAGAGAAGGTTAACTCACTTTTGTCAGCACTTAACTGCATATCCATCAGTGTGAGCACTGATCTTGTCAATTATTCCATTGATGCATTTCTTAGAATCCATTATTAAAAAAAAAAAAAAGGCATTTTTTAGACACCAGTTTTCTTCCTTAGGGAGTTTCTGTACTGGAATAATCATTTATACATAAATTATAGCACAGTMACGGAAGGAACTGCAGTGATTTGCAGCAGGAACTCAACGACAGAATGGGAACAAAGTTAAATATAAACAGGCCAAGGCATTACAATTTATATAAAAAAAAAGGAAGTTCCAAGTTTTGAACCTGCTTAACACCTTCCCTGGAGTAGCTAAAAGCAGTTCATGTTCCTTCTGGGGTGTTACAATYGCCCCAGGGTTCTGCCTGAGGAGCAGCTGATGCTCTCGAACACCTCGATTCACAGATACAACCCTTCTCATTCAACACCCTAAACAGCTTGGAAACAAGTACAATTTAGGCAATTCTTATTTTTCTCAGAAGTCGTGGAGGGCACGTTTGAAACTGGATAAAAAGGTAGAGTTGTTTGACGCGACTTACCTTTGCTGTAACCCAGCCACGTCGGTCAGGAATCACACGCAGTCTTAATGACTGAGAGTACCATATTCATTTGAAGGGGAAAATGGGGGCGTGTGTCCCATGAATTGGATTCGATTCCAATTCCAAACTGAATTTTCAGAATTGACRTAGAGAATTGCGTTCATATTCTTGTCCCATTTAAATAAGTCTATTGTTTTTAATTAATTCTCTTAATTATCCATTACAAGTACGGCCCATTATGATTTGGAATAGAGAAATTGTTTATTTTGCAAGAGAGAAATTGTTTAAAAGCATGAAAGAATAGTTAGGACACTCGAAAACTTACTTTCATGCAAATGATAAGATCCCCAATATGCCTGTTTAAGAGCAAGAACAGTTTGTTCATTTGATTACTGTATCTGACCTCAAAATTAAGTTTATCAGTATTAAGACTACAGCAGATTAGCTAGATTTGCCTAGACAAAAGATCAGTAAACTGAAACACAGCAGATATATATATATATATATATATATTATTTTCCCCGTCCTAAGTCAGAGAGAATACTTTCCCCTTTCACCATTGCAAATTCAGCTTGAAGTTACTGAGCATTCGTATTTCTTATATGAACTTGCAGCAGAAATGGTGCAAAATAGCAAAACCTTTTGGAATAGGCAGAAAGGAATTCAAACTTTAATCTGATCGGTTTAATTTCTTTTTTAGCAGGAGGAAAAAGAATAAAGTTACAAGATTCTTTTAATATTTTTCACAATGTTAAACTAAAACTGAGCTCTACGCTACATGTGTAAGTAAATCTAGAACACAAAAGGGTTAAATAAGATTTTCCTTTAAAGATACAAGAACTTAAGCTTTCTTTACGTTTAACAAACTTCACAGAACAGATACTGCAAAGGAACAACCCCCTCCCCAACTTGGTTTTTGTTTAAAGTGAACATTGTCCATAATTCACATGAACTTTAAGTAGTGTTCTCTCAAGAGCCGCCTTGAAACCATCTGTGCACTTGTAACCAGATTAAAGGGAATATGAAGGAGGAACAAAATAGCATCTTCAGTATTAATGCAGAAGAGTCTTGTGCATCAATCAGAATGCCCATCAAATGCTATGATAGGATGTGTGAGGAAAAAAAAAGTGCGTATCACAGCAGCAGTTGAAATCCATATTTTTAAAAATGTTTCATAGCAAAGGTAAATAATATCCTTGGACAGCTCCTCTCACCAGGACCATTTCCTGAAAATGCAGTACGTTGCAGAAGACTTTGCTGCTGACTTCATAGTCTTGAATAATAACAATAATAATAATAAAAAAACAAAACAGCTTGCCTTTTACAGAGCTTGCATTTTATAATGATGGGACACTTCTGCTTTTCTTCATGGTTAATTTGTGCTAATACAGTCAGATGCTGAGTGTGTGTTTGTGTATGTATATATGTGTGTGTATATAGATATATATTTTTAAATTAGTTGTCTCCTTGTTAAATGCTTCTAGCTGGCTACCAAAGTAACAATATAGTTTGGACTATAAGGAATTATTTACCTGTAACAAATAGAATGGAGGATGACTCACACAAGCTTACTCCCCGGCAGCAGGGCTTGCTCAAGTGACACCGTACTGCACCCCGCTCAGGTTTTACATCTGCCCAGCCTCTGACGATGAGCATAAGTCTTGCCCTCTCTCTGCTTTCCTACTAGTTTTCCTGGTTTTAGATACCTCACTAATGGGCTGAGAAGCTAAATTCCCCCCGGACTGTGCTGGGCCGTTTCAGTATACGCCTTCTGGACCTGCATAACCCTGTGTGCAGCAGGAAACATGCTAATTACGATTTTTGCTTGTTTGTTTATAAACTGCTGGGATCAGTGCAATTCAGTTCAGCTCAGCTCAGTGTAACATACCGTAATACAGAACCAAAGGTCTAAACAGCTCCAAAACATTCTACTCCATGTAATGCTTTTCACATTCACTTGCTGTACTTGCTTTGCAATAGCTGCGGGCAGAGGTTTTCRTGAGAGTGCTCAGCTGCAGAGAAGCAGGGCTGGCAGAGCCCCTTCCTTTAGCGCACGGACACTCTGGAAGTGAGGAAAACTCAATCTGGTGAAGGGCGTTTTCACGGTTGTTCCCCAATACTGTTACTGAATTCCGTTTGCTACAAAATGTCCTTTTTTTTCCCCCCCCAATATATAAGTCTAGCTACAGAAAGTCAGTCTGTAGAATCCAGCCATGGCTACTGTGCTGTGAATTAGCCTTATTTGATCAATTATCAGATACCTGCACTTAGCAAAAGGCAAACAAGAGCCAATCAGGTTGTGGCCGGTGGGCATGGCTGCACTGGTCAGTGGATGCCAAGTACGTGCAATCTGTTCAACCCAACTCAGAGGAACTCTATGGATGCCGTATAAAAAGTCCGCACCACTAACTGCTCTGGGATGAAGTTGGCGTTAAGTGAGATCATAATTTAACTGAGAAAAAAAAAAACCCAGGTGGGTTCTTTATAGCAAGATAGATATAAAAATTTTTCATAAGAATCTCTGTCCCCCTTTTCTTTTTGGCTTCCTGGGAAGAACCAGAAAGATGTTCCTACCCCAACAGAATCCCTGATGCTGGTGACACTGCCAAACCTCAAAAGCCACACGCGATGAAGGCACGAGTGACCAGTCAGGTCTTGTGGACGCGAGCAGCTGCGGGCGCCGCTCTTCGTGGTGTTTCACCTCCTCGGGATTAACTCGAGGCGAAGAGGTGAAAGGCTGCACATTGAACAGTTTGTCTGAAAGCCATGTGCATAGCAAACTTGGACACCAGCTTCTACACAACTATTGGTTTTAACTCTGCTGCTGGAATGTTTCCAGCGTAAGGCTTTTAGAGTGACTCCAACGATAACAGAAGCCTTTGGATTTGTCTCGTTTTGTTTAAATCCACTAGCCATGCTCAAAAATAGTATTTCGTCATGGTTTAATTTCATACAGTGGCTAGCAGGCACCTTAGTAACCAGCCAGAAATCAATTTCAACCACCCTCAATCCCTAAACTACAGTACCAGGATGGTTGGCTAAGGAAAGGTAACTGATTGGCTGTAGTCTGAAACTTGCCTAGTACAAGGTGTCTGGCTGACTTTGTCCTAAATAAGGCTAACATTAGTGAACTAAGAGAACAGCATTTGGTTGCAGAGGCTCGCACTCAGGAACATCCTTCGCCAATGCGCTGGCAAGATCGCCCTACTTTCCGATCCAGTTTCACCATTTTCATAATGGCTTCCTCGCGCCCACGTCCCATGTGGTCGAATGTGCAGTCGTGCTGTTCGGGCAGGCGGTGTAACATACAGAACACGTAACCTGCCGTGGAGAGGGAGAAAAGAACACGCGTCAGTACTCGGGCAGGGCGGCAGGCTCCTACCTGGCTCCGGCGCAGAGAGTCGCTCTCTTCCCAGGAATCGCTGCCAGCTGTAAGGTCTCACCTCTTTCCTGGTAGCACAATACCAAAGCCCAGGTCGTACTAGGACTTTTATTTTGTGGCCATCCTCTCATCTTCCAAGAGATGACAACATCAAAGGTAACTTTTTTTTTTTAAATCACTGGCCACGGCTAGTGAATCCCCTCCAGCTTTACGTGCTGTCCCTTGTCACTGCTGAAGCTCGTGCTTCGCACCCAGGCGTAGCTCCTGAAGCGGCGTTTCAAAGCTACTCCAGTGCTTTCCTTTCTCCGTGCTGCCAGCATGCCAAGCTGCCTGTGACTGAGGGACAGCTCACTGCTTTGCTGTTGGTTCCACTGCTCAGGAGCTTGTTCTTACAGGCTGCTTGGACACTTGGAGCACCAGGGATGAACAAGCACTTGATGCAGGGACCCGGCCTACCTACCTACCTACCTTCACCCTGGTCATTCATCATCTCTGTCTAAAGCTAGTTCTGTTAACTCAGTTCCCTTCAGGGAACAAGTGACTCAAACACAGGGCAGTACTTTTCTCTACACGTCAAGAGAGCTTCTTCAGCAGCCACCGCTTTTCACTGTTAAGGAAAAAAAAGCTTTTTGACATAATTGATTCTAACACTTAATTACAATAAAGAAATTGCCTCAAATTTTCTGTCTCAAAAATGAGTGTTATACAGTGCTAAGTAGATTTAGGATGATACAATAGGGAAAAGAGTTAAAAGAGTTGCCCACTATTCAGGCAGTCCTCATATCTGAAAAAGAGTATGAGATGGCCTGTGCTGCAATAGCTTTTCTCCAAGATGGTGCAAAGAAACCCCTGTCATCTGTCCCCACTACCTATGTCCATACACACATTGACATTTATTATTGCTGCTCCTGCAGCGCTCACAAGGGATTACTGCCCAAAGTCAGGACACCTGAGAGATACTGAAGGATGCAAGCGAGACTGCAGGTGTGTAAAGTATTTTCAAGCTCCTGAAATAGAAAACATCAAGCTCCTGAAAGAGAGGAATTACAGGAGAGAACAAACTGCCTTTATAATACTGGGATTGTTAAGAAAACAGAGTAAAAAAGTAACCCGCTAAGAATTATGTAAAAAAATAATTTGAGGAAAAAGATGTATCTTTAATCTTCATTTCAGTGGCATCTACTATGACCATACCTGTGTCTGTACGAATGCCTGTCTTCATAACCCAATTCTAAAGATAAGGCAAAAAAGACAAAAAGACAAAAAGACAAGCTTTTCTTCCTTGATGTATGTTTAAAGAAAAAAAAAAAAAAAAGGAAGAAAAAATMATGAAATGATTCAAATTGAGATATAAAACTTGCTCCCTTGTGACCACTGCTTCCACTTCAATCTCCGGCTGGGTCATACTGCACTCCAATGTGAAAAATCCCTTAAGTTGCCAAAAACATGTAAGGTCAGATTGTTAAAATAAAATCTCCCTCTTAATGCTCAATAGGCTTCTTASTCAGTTTTCTCTCCTAGGAACGTAAGGTTCAAAGGCTTCCCTTCTTTAGTTCTTGAAATAGGATTTCAAATCACTGAACTAATACACACTGTAGGCACAGGAATACAGAAACATCCAACAAGATCTGCTCAATAAAAAACCAAAAAACATCAACAGTCCCCCTGCCAAAAACACCCAAAACAACAACAACAACAACATCATCAAGTCTGTCATCTTATCTGCAATCGATGTATCGCAGCCAGACACAGGAAACCCTGCAGAAATGCAATGGGCCGAAGTTCTCATTTCAGTCTTTAGGGGGTAAAGGCTGGATTTACATCCTGATGGTTTTGCAGGTCCTCTCTCTGTGGTTAACAAGGATATCTAGAAATGCTAACCAAGGATATCTAGAAGAGATACTGGACTCGTGCACCATGTCATGCACATCTTCAACACCTTCAAGAACTTTTTACAAGTTCTACAAATCTAATATGGAAATGCATTTACAAAACAACGTATCGCTTTTGAACATAAGCTTTCACTTGCACCATCTCCTTATTTTCTACAAAGCCTCCTGTCTTCTCCTAGATTTTATGATGCTCCCTTTCACTTTGTCYCTCAAAGAAATCTCTATTGTTCATATTATTTCTTTTTTTTTTTTTGAACTTATATTTCACTTCAGAGCATCAGTTTTCATATAGGATAAGCAATATTGTTTGCTGTATTCACGTCGATGAAACATAGATTTTACAGAACCTGCATATCTTTAAATGTTACCTGGTTGAATAACTGGTTTTTGAACAGTTTTTCATTACTTCAGACTGAATTTATTCAATTAAATTTTTACTTAAATGGTTTCTTCACTGCTTGCTTCAACAGCCTGACAGTGAGCGTGGGCTTTCTGCGGGCTGGTTGGGAGCAGGTGCCCCACGGAGTCCCAAGGCCATCAGCTTTTGCAGCAACTGCAGCAACTTGCACGCTCTGGCACTGAGGGCTAATAGACTTACTTCCATTTGAATCCTTAAAACCAATCCTGATTTAGAGATGAAGTTTTGTCTGCTGAGAATTCTGCTTTCATGGTTATAAAGCAAAGTTAGATTAAAGAGCGCTTGTCATATATTACTGTTAAGCTCATTATGTGAAGGTTTCTAAAACAGGTTGTTCCTCCTAAAGGATTTTACTCCAGAAATGTTTCCCTTAGCACACTATAACTAAAAGCCAAAATAAATAACCTTCTGCTGGGGGGAATAAAATCCATCTTGCAACTAAATTTAGTTTCCCACAGCTATCAAACAAAACTAGGCAAAAGCTAGGATCCACTCCACGCACAGAAGATTTCKGTCCAGTAGACGTAACAATACCTCCCACGGCATTGCAGTTGTCATTTGCTGATGTTAGAGGTAAACTACAAACCAGCTACTCCTCAGGCCTGGAAAAGGAGGCTCTTGTGCATGAAAACCTTTGAGCTCCTCTCGGCACCCCAGAACCTATTTTGCAGTAGATCAGCCAGAGTTCCCTTCCATGTCGTCGCCAGAGCACAAATGGCTGCAGCCAGGAGCAGTGCCATTCTGGGCCTTTCTGGCCCTCCTCCTGTGAACCTATGCATACACAAAGCCCATCATTCAAAGAACACTAAGTTCACACAGGAGCAACAGCAAAATTGCTCTTTCCCTTTTATTAGTCTTGGGCAATCTGCTGGGAAAAGGGAATTTGAGAGGGAAGACAAAATAATCTTACATATCCAAGACCACAGTGTACAGCAGATTTACAGCTTACTGTGTGAAAGTGATAATAAAACATAACTGCATCTTTTTGCTGCACTCAAGAGCATYGATTAGATGGGAATATGAGCTCACGGTGGACAAATATTTACACTAAAACCTACCCTTAATTCTTAACATTGTGACTTCCAAGTTATGAAAACAGTAAATGCTAAGAACCAGAAAAGGATCAGAAACAATTCAAGTAAATGGTGTAATAATCCACAACACAAAAGCTAAACTGATTTTTTTTTTTTTAACCTCTTTGGTAACAGAATGGAAAGTGTCCGACCCTGGCATGCCCAGTAACGGATCCATGGATTGCTGCATGCGGCAGCAGAGAAGCCTGGCATGGTGGCGGGACAAGTCTCCTGCCTTACCGGCCCCGGAGCCTCTGGCTTTGCTAATACACAGCTGGAGAACTCCAGAGTGCTCCTTAAGAGGGGTGCAAGGATCTCTGTCACTCAAATAGCATCTTAGTAGAAAGAAAACACCATTCTCCACTCACTCTTATGATTCTGGTCCCAAAACCAAGACATTCAAAGCTGTGAAAGGGAGACAATTTGAGAGGGTTTGAAAAGTGTTTTGGAAAGCAATTGAAGTGGAAAACACCTTATTTTGTAAGAATTGAGAGCCTATTCAAGGTTTACAGTACATAAATATATGATTAATATGCTAGATACACCCAAAATCAACTTCGCTCACTTAGCTCTACTTATCCAGAGGCACATTCTTTTCCCTCTCTAAAGCTTTGAAAGCACATAACTACAAACCCTTCATTGCTGCCATGAAAGGACAAAGTACCTGATTACAGAGTGCTACCAAGCTCAACTTGAACCTGTCCTCTCAGAGCGCGCCCGTTCACATTCCCTCACAAAGCATCTGCCAGAGATCCAGACAAGCCTTTGTCAGGGCTGTATCCTGTAGGATATGGGAGAATCAGTCCTGAGAAAAGGATAGAGGTTGGGAGATGAGAGGTACAAAGGCAAAATTGTGCAAAAAAAAGGCATCTCTGTTTGCAGAGCACCCAAGAAAATTGGGGTAAACCTTTAAAGTGATATAAAGGAGTAGTTTTCTAAGAGCTATAGCAGCATGTAGAGACATGTCTATTACATATGCAGGACACAGGGATTTGAGAGCGCTCTGAAGCCTTTACAGCTTTCTCTTGAAGAAGGGCTGGGGATGATGCAGCTCCTCTGCATCAGGGCAGGGCCTTTGGGGCTCCGTGCCTGACTCTTCCCAAGGAGCTACATGTGGTGCTGGTGCTTGGAAAAGTCTCTGTACACCAGCGAGGCACCCGGAGCTAACGCAGTCCTCTCAGAAGCTAAAGATTTAATTAAAAGCCAAAGTGTACCCAGTAATTTAATTAGAACAGCAGCAATACTAGAGTGATTTAATAATGTGTGCGTATAATTTATTTCAGCCCAATGCAAGTGCTCGTAAGGCAACGCTACCAATAAAGAACTGAAATAAATAATGACAAGTTTCTCTAGGAAGGTATTGCATATATGGCATTAGTTCCAACACATTCTCCTGGATCCTTCATGTATTTTAACTTCAAATCTTCCCATTCTTAGCATGATTGCAGTGCTTCCMCTTTCCATATACCTCCTCAAGTCCATTATTTATGTCCTGGGTTTCRATAGCTTTCTAGAGGTTGCACTATATTGATCCACAGTCTGACAACAGGCAGACC